ACCTTGTTAGAAAAATGAAACCGTCTTAGCTGAAGATGACTCCTACCTTGCCAAAATTTATATTTGTGTCCCCTAGTCCTACTATTCTCACAGTTAAATCTGAAAAAAGATGATACATCAACACTATCAATTCCCTTTACAATCTTAAACACCTCAATCAGATCCCCCCCTAACTCTTCTTTGTTTCAAGAGAAAACAATTTGAGAGATTTCAGCCTCTCCTCGTATGATAATTCCTCTATCTCAGGCATCATTCGAGTAACCCCTCTCTGAATCTTTTCCAACAATTCAATGTTTTTCCTAAGGTAAGGAGCTCAAGACTGAACACAATATTCCAAATCTAATCTAACCAGTGACCTGTAAAGGTGTATTCTTTGCTGGAAACACATCTCAGTATGAAAAAAAAAAGATAAAAGGTTATATCAAAGTATTTTTAATGCTAAAACAGTAATTTTAAATATTTTAATTTTAAGCCTTTATATTATTAGATGGGTAAAAAGAGTAACTGGTTGAAATGGAAAACTCAGTTATTTACAATATTTTTGTCTATGGTAACATCATTTAATTAATTTAGATTTGATAAACGGTTTAATGAAATATTTTCAGCAAATGTTAAAAAAGAAAAGGTGGGGATAATAGACAAAAATAAATTAAAAATCAAATCTCCTACTCAAGCAAACTTCAATCACCTTCTTCAGTTTTGATTATTTCATTCTGTTCTTTACTTAATTGTATATTTTTAGTATTGTTATATGTATGGATTACAAAATTAATTGCCTTACAGTGTAATAGAGTTCTTCAAGTTCATTTAGGATCCAAGGGTCTTGGATGCTCTGATGCCATATTTGATCTCTCTGTATGGTAATCCTCATTCTCGGACACACGCCTATGGTTGGGAAAGTGAAGCGGCCACAGAGACTGCAAGAAAGGTAGATGTTTCAAGCTTGAAGTTCCTTTATCTTAACTTAATGTTAATAAATCTACCAACGAATATGAGAAGATTGTTCTGTTAGTTTTAAAATACGTATAATGTACTAAAACCTTGTAATGAAATCTAGATAATATAATTGCTGTATTCAGTTCTTAAAGGAACCAGATTCATGATGGTGTAATGACATTATAATTATTTTAAGGAGCTTCAAATTTGTAAGTTTTTTTTTGGCGTGTATGTTAAAAATACAACTTCTTCTAGAGTTCACGTTTTATAGGAGAGAATTATATGATAAAGATTTATTTAACATAAATATGTTCCATTTTCCAGCAAGTAGCAAATATTATTGGTGCTGATCCAAAGGAAATCGTCTTCACAAGTGGTGCTACAGAATCTAATAATATCGCTGTAAAGGGAGTTGCACGTTTCTATAGAGAAAAGAAGAGGCATTTAATTACAACACAGACAGTAAGAATTTTGTTCTCTTTTGTGGCTTGATGATTGTATGTACATGTTGGAGTCAAAGTGTACGTGTCCTGACATCGTACAGAGTACCATTCAACATGGTATTTTGTATTTGATGTTAAGAGTTCTCAACATGTCATGTTAGCCTATATTGCTGCATTTACAACAGTTTGTGTTAGAGTTGAGAAAATACCAGAATAATATAGAGACACTGGAAAAACTTTAAACGTGCATTTAAGAGATAGTAGAGATTATGTAAATACAGTTTACAAACTGTACAATAGACAGAAGTATTTTTTATTCTTCACATAAACATCACCTGGAACTCTGAGTTGACCGAGTCTGAGTCAGACTGACTACATTTAGCACAAACACTTTAGTGACACAACCGATTTCTTTGCGTACAACAGACTTTTACTGTTGACTAAAATCTTGCCACATTGTTTGAAGATACGCATCGTAAATTCGGAATGATATCAAATATTACTTCTCCGTACAGGATCAGTTGAACTGACAGGTCCCATGCACATTCAGTTAACATATGGTGGTACTTTTGAACTACTTTTTGAGAGAAAGTGTGATTTCGTGTCAAATCAGGTACATTTTTGTTTCCATTACACCTACTTTCATTATAATTGTTATTGTAAAAAGTGAACTCAGTAAATAGAAATGTTTAATTTATCCATTAATTGTCTTGAAATACAGGTTCAAAGAGCAATATTTATTCTATTTTAACTATTATTAATATAATACTCTCACTCATCTTGCTTGTTATAATAAAATGTGTTAAAATTTAAAGAAAATGTGTTATTCAGGAGACAAATCAGTTATAATAATAATAATACAAAAATACCATGTATTTAGACGTACCTTCTAAAACTATTATTCATGGGCCACATTTGCATATTTCATACAATTTCAACAATGTCAATGAATGTTTAATAAGTTGTTACTTTAGTGAAAGATGGACCTCCCTCAACAAGAAAAATTAGAAGTTATCACTCATGCATTTTATATAGCTTGTGAATCTTATTGTTACTTGTCATAAATGTATAGTGTACGTCTTTGGGTTTTAGGTTTAAAGATGAAAGACATGTTGTCCCGATAAAGTGTTAAATTAGATTCACCCAAATTTGTAAATAGGATACAAAGTGACAAATATAAGTTGTTTTTTGGTTTTCGTAATTACTTATTGAAATAAATAGATCTAGTCCATACGTTTTCACGCCTCGCATATTTTTCTCTTTTTTACCCATTTTGAAAATTTTACTTATTGGCCAGTGCAATTTCGTAAAAGGCATTGCACCTGTGTATTATGCTTTAAGATGTGAAGGTGCCTACAGATTGATAAGTCAGTTACTGTCAGAACAGTTTATTCTTCTCATAGAAAAGTGTTGAAGTTTGTTTCCCCAAGATGTTATATGAGAAATACAAGAAACTGGATTATATTTTTGTTTGAGAAAATATTAGATATTTATTTTAAAATCACCATTTTTATTAATTCATAGTTTGCAGTGAATAAACTACTTTTAATATAAACAAATAAGAATAAACGAAATATTCAGATTATTGTTAATAAAACTGTCTAAAACCTGTTTCACTTCCACAATGATACCTTAAGTTTTAATAAGCTCTTGTGTTTGTAGATGATTGAAATATGTTCTTTTCTGTATATTCATCAAATGCCGTTAATTTTACTTGAATTATTAAAACAGATATTTTTACAAAATATTGTTCATCTGTACGTAAATGTTTCAATGTTATTAATTTTTAAGAGTAATTTTCTTTTGTACCTATGGTTTTCAACAAATAGATTTTTTAAATATTATTTTTGACACTAAGTGTACTATAATTTTCTACTTTTGACTAAAAATGTAATAGGTACATAAACTTGAGGAGTAACAGTAACTTTTAGAATGGTCTAATGTTACTTAACATCTCAGTTAAGTAATCTCTTTTGTAACACAAGCCTTCATACTTGTATTTCTGCTCTTGTCTAGGAACATAAGTGTGTTTTGGATTCATGCAGAGCCCTAGAAAATGAAGGATTTGATATTACCTATTTGCCTATCCAGAAATCAGGCCTTATAAACCTAAAGGTAAATTTGTGGTTTTCAGTACTGTGACGCATAAATTAAACCAGTGGAGTCCACATACTGCATAATTTTGAGTAATTTTAATGTTTTGG